ACTTGGATGGGTGACCGCCTGGGAATACCGAGTGTCGTAACCTTTTTGTCCTTTTTTTTTTTGTTTCTCTTCCAATATGATTATACAATTTAATCCTCCTGCTTGTTTTTATGAAACTACTTTTTCCAAAACATTTTTTCTTTTTGTTAACAAAACTAGTAAATGTATTGTTAAACGACCTCTATTAAGTCTCGTATAAATGACATATTTTAATATTATTTCGCAATCCATTGTTTTTCTAATATATATAATTGATTTCTACTTTCAATAAATTTCATTTAAAAACAATACTAAATTGGTTAGAATACGTATTTTTCGATTATTGATTTACAATAGCAACTGATAGTATCTATTACAAAAAAAGGGTTTTGAAGTGCAGTTGTTGCAAAATGAAGTTTATAAGAGAGGTTGAGGTTTGTTTCTTTCGGTTACGGCCATACCACGTTGAATACACCAGTTCTCGTCCGATCACTGAAGTTAAGCAACGTCGGGCTCGGTTAGTACTTGGATGGGTGACCGCCTGGGAATACCGAGTGTCGTAACCTTTTTATCCTTTTTTTGTTTCACTTCCAATATGATTCTAAAATATAATCATACTGCTTAACTCTCTGAAGTTACTTTCTCTAAAACATTTTTTCTTTTTCTTAACAAAACTGAAAAATGTATTGTTCAATAAGCTCTACTAAATCTCGTATAAATTACATATGTTAATGTCGTCACAATACATAGATATGATAGTTAAGTTTGCCTATTGCAAAATCATGTCATTTCTCGATTGATTGTTTTTCTAATATACAATACACAAGTAACACTCATCCTACGAATTCCTAGACTCTTTTCTGAAAAGAAAACTTCCTGTAATTATCATTAAAAATAATTTTGGTTTTGTTTATATGTTAAGAAAGGAAATTTGAACAGAATCTACGTATCATGAAATCTTATTCGAATATGGTTCATTTTTATTTGAAGAATAAATGATCAGTCGCAGCGTATGTCTCATTTTTTCAAAACCTGCCCTACCAAAAAAGCTTTCAGCGCAATCCCTTCGGGATTAAAAATGTGAAACACGATGTAACTGGTGTTGCTTATGGGAAACATAGCTTATATTTATGACTTTGAAGCATACCTATTGTAGTTAATGTTGTTTCACCGTTACATCTGTCAAAGTTCCTGATAGTCCTTGTAGGCTTGTCGATCACGTTCTACGATGCTTTGTCGGTAACGGTCTGTGATGATCTTTGGAGCCCTGTCGGTCACGGTCTGTGATGGTTTTTGAAAATCTGTCGGTCACGGTCTGTGGGGGGGGGGGCCGGGGGGTAATCAGTTTTCTACTCTTAAACACTTCAACACTCCTTTTAGATCGTGTTTCACAAAATCTTTAACTAATATAACAATATACCTCCTGGAATAATCGCATCGAAAATCACAAAATTGATAAATATTCTTCTGCATCAATATTGCATTAATATCATTATTCATGATATCTTCTGCATTAGTATCATCACTTACAATAATCTTGTACATTAGTAACATGAATTAGTATCATTTTATAATAACGTTTACAAAAACTCTCTTCACACATTGCTTGAAAAGAAATTCGAAAGACCTCGCACATTATATATTTATTTCTTATTGCCTTTTTCTCTTTGTTTCTCTTCCTCTCCTTTACAATCATTCAACAAGTATTTACACACATCTGTTTAATTTTTTCATAAAATAAAAAATTTCTTTCTTTTCTTTTCGTTTACTTAAAATCTTAATTATTTTCATAATCAATGTTGGCTTGAGTTTATATAAATATATGTTCTCATATGAGCTATATATGAAGAGAGTTTCCCTTTTCTTTGTTAACTTTCAAGTGACAGGCGAAATCGCACGTCTTCTTTTTTAACGCATCATGAATATACAACAAAGCAGTGAAGCAATAGAATACAAGCAATAGTAGCTATTGAAACAGTAAAAAAGATGTCTTTTTGATCGAACTTACATGATTACGAGAAGATTTCAATAGTATACTTATATATAATGATATTTTTTTAGTAACCATGCAGAGGAATGGACATTCAAAGGATTGTATTATCTATTTATAATAATCAATGTGCCGATAACCTCTTCCTCCCTCGAAAATAGCATCATTCTATAGAGAATTGAATTCTGAATCCAACACAAGTTTAGAAGCAAATCCGGACAAGAAATACTTGAATATGGTATTAACTTTTCTTATGTGGACAAAAATCATATTCCTCAACATATGAACTATTCAGAGTAATTGAAAGAAAAGCAATACCTCCATTTCATTACAATATTTCATTCAGTAATTTGCAAAGTAAACCAAGACACTTTTTTTTTGTTGTTAAAATTTTGATGGAAAGAAAAAAGTACATTATATAGAATAGGTCAAAGCTTTTTTAAAACGAAATATCAATGCTTCTAAACTGTACTCCTTGTATCAGAGCTGGGCAAAGTACTCGAAGTACTCGTACTCGAGTACCATTTTGCTCGTACTCATACTCGTACTCGGAGGGTCGGTACTCATACTCGTACTCGTACTCGAGAAAGTCCATACTCGCCCAGCTCTGGTATAGAGTCATTATTAGCAATAGAGTAAATTGAAACTTATCATTAAATTTTCATTGAAAGTGGAAAAGCATTGTATTTGATGGCGATAATACTCAAATACTTGATCGAATATCTTTCGGAACATATCAATAAAGATAATCAAGTTATAGTTTTATGAATGTGTTGAATCATTTTCATTGAAATATTTTTATTTCAGGTGAAGTATTTATTACTGAAACAATTCTCATTCAGTGAAAGATCTCGGATATTTTATTATATTCTAGTCTACGAATCTTTCAAAATAGTTTAAAATAAGTTTTATCGCAATATGAATGTATCTGATTAATATAATATATATACTCGTCAGAACTGACGGATCTGTG